CTATGCTGATATGATGGGCACTGGATTCCATCAACATATGAAGGTCACAGCCTTACTACCCCTGTTCAGATAAGAGCATGGATGAGGAATCTTTTTTGCAGCTAAGTGCTACATTTAAAAAAAGAGGCCAAGACCTGTACAGGACACATAATATTATTATTAATTTTCAAAATGTTTTGAAAACAGTATTTTCAAGGAATTTTTAGAACTGCTCACCAAGTAAAAAATTTCATGCTGTCCAAATCTAGCTATTGTTATGTAAGATTGTCTGAATACTCAACATTTGGTTCATAATGGCATTGCCATTTCCAGAAGATACAATAAAAGATATGAAAGCAGAAGGAAAAGTGGCAGCACAGTGCAACTAGGTGACAGATGAGTTGGCAGGTTACATGCATGACATCGGACAACATTTGATTTAGAACACAGCTGAATAAGAATTTGTAGTTATGGGCCTAGGAGGCAGAAATTCTGAACAACATTCCTCAAACTCTGGATTTCTTAAATTGCACTTTTTAAAAGCAGAAATGTATGCTAAATATATTTGCTTTAGAAATGGGAATAATATAAACAGGTCTATTTTTGAATGCAATATTTTATTATAAGAACTACAGTCCCAACAAAGCTCTCTGGATCAGAACATCCAACATCATAGCTCAAGCTTTAAGTCCACTCACTAAAAGGAAGATTTGTAAGCCATACAAAAAACAAAGAAAGAATTTTACAATTACAGCAAAGACAATTATGCAGAGTGCTGAAAGAACAAAGAAAAACCAAATCAGGTATGCACAGCCATATTTTACAATATCTCTCTTTTTTAAAGGGCTGGTAGTTGGGAAAAATGTTTCCAGATATGTATAAAAATTATTTTTAAAAATGATGACAGAAATATGCTAATAAGAAAATAATTTTCCTACACTGAATTATTTTGAGATCCAACTCTTAGAGAATCACATGCAAACAGCCTGATAGCAAATGCATCTGTTATCAAAACAAGAGACTGGTGGAAACCATCATTGTCCAAAAGAGATTGGCTTCTAGCCTGCATTACAAGGGCAGGAGAAAAAGGTGCAAAAGGTTCAACCTTAGTTTCACTGTAAATAGATTTTACATCTGATTCAAAGCAGTCACTAGAATTCTTTCATAACAGCTTCTTCAGCTTTTCTGTAATAAACCAACTTATCTGGGCTTACATGTCCTCAAAAATTTATTCTTGCAGTTTCCTGTTCAGCAGTCAATCCATCTGACAATTATTAAAGTGATCCAATTACAATAAAAATATGTATTTATTTATTTATTTATTTATTTATTTATTTATTTAATATGCACCCCCCCCCATTTCACAACAGTGACTCTAGTGGTGAACAAGGATCAGAACGACAATTACAGCATCCATATATGCTGTATGCACGTAATGCCTGAGGTTTAAAAAACAAAACATTCAGAAAACCACATCAACAGTATTGTTTGTCTAACTACTTGGCCCAAACACCAGGGAAACAGAGAGGTTTTCAAAGACTCACAAAAGACTAACAGGCCATCCTGATTTCCAGAGAGAAGGCATGATTCCTGGGTCTAACAAGATGGAAGGAGATCCAGAGCATGTTCTCTGCTAGATCTGGTGGGCTGAGCAGAAACAATGGGAGAGAGACTGTCTTGAAAATAGCTTGGCCTTATGCAATATAGGGCTTTTTAGGTGATAATCAGCACTTTGAATCACACCTGTAAGCCTACTGGGAGCTAGTGTAACTCATGGAGCAGCAGTGAGCCTAATGAGTAATGCCCAAAACTGCCCATGCTGCTGCATTCTGAACCAGCTGCAACTTTTCAATGCCCTTGAAGGGCAATTCTATGCAGAGCGTGTCACAGTAATCTAAACGGAAGGTGACTGAGGCATGAGACACAGTGAGCAAGGCCTCCTGGTCCAGGAACAGGTACAACTGGTGTACAAGACAAACCTGTGTAAAGGCCCCTGGCCGTGGCTGCCATCTGCTCTTCAAGCAGGAGCCATGAGACCAGGAGGACCCCCAAACTGCACACCTAAGCAGATGGAATGATGATGGAAAATCTCTAGAGCTGGGGTTTCTTAAAACTTATAGTCACTCAGTCTTGCCAGAGTTGAGTCAAAGCCTGTTCTACCCCACTCAGAACCCATGGCCTCCAGGTAGTGTGAAAGGACTTCAACCACATCACTTGGTTAGCACAGATATACAACTGGGTATCATTAGCATACTGATGATACCGCACCCTGTGCCAACAGATGACCTCACCCAGGGTTTCATGTAGATGTTAAATAGGAATGGGGAGAGAACAGAGCCCTGAGGCACCCCACAAAACAGGGCCCTGGGCTTGACCTCTCTCCCCCACCAAAAATGACTGGAACTGGCCCCAGAGAAAGGAGGAGAATCATTGTAATCCAGTGCCTCCCATTTCTAATACCCTAAGCCAGCCCAGAAAGATACCATGGCCAATGGTACTGACGACTGCTAAGAGATCAGGGAGGGCCAGGATAGATGTACTACCCCCACCCTAAGCTTGCCAGAGATTATCCACAAACATGATCAATGCCTTCTCATACTGTGACCAGACCATACATAAGGAAAATGTGTGCATAATCACTAGTATTATTTATAAACTTCAAAAGCCAAATATAGAAGCAGCTGCTTCAACCTGAACAATAAGAAATAAGATAAAATATGTTATATTTGTTATTATAGTGTTTTGCAAATATAGTTACTGTTTCCTTGATAATATTTTCTCTTTAAAAAAATCAGGAATTGTCTATTAGAATACCCAATAAAAAGGCAGCTTTCTAGACCAAATAAAAGTTCATGTCTGGCAGAAAATAATGAAGCTGTCAGAAGTAATTATTCCATATTACAGTTGTGTTGCTATGATTACTTTGGGGATGGAGGACATGGAAATTTGAGGTGTAGGATTCAGACCTAAAATCAAAAGAATTGAAGCCCCAGACTATAGCTCTGACTTGGCCAGAACACTTCAGATTATAGACTGAGGATTGAATATTATAGGGCTAGTGTCTATGAGTTTTACTAAGGTTTGTATGTGTAATGATAAACTTTTAAAATATGTAGTGGAGATTAGAACATTTGAGCTTCCAGTTTTTCAGAATGAAACAGATGAAATTAGAGATTTGTGGCCCCACATATTTCACAGGAAGACACCATCACTCTAAAAAAAAAAAAGATTGCCAGTTTAATAAAGAGGTTGACTATATCATAACATTTCTTTTAGCATTTCTTTCACTGGAGTTTCTTTTGGCTTCTTAGCCAATAAGATTACCTGCTTTTCATCAGCAGATGAATTTAGGATTTTGCATTTCAACAGACACATATAATCTCAAAGGGGAAAAAAACCTTTTCATCTATATCAAACTTCATTTTTCAAAATAAAGAATTAAATTTCCCCATTAAATGCCTTAAGAAAGAAACAAGATTGCTCAAACTCCTTTTCCACAGAGAAAACTACATACTGTGCTTGTTGCTGCTTGTTTCCCAACAAAATACAGTCTATCATCTAAATATCCTACTGCTAGGACACGAACTATTTCCAGTGCACCTTAGGCTTTCTTCAGCCTTTAATTGGTTAACCAAATAAATAATGCATGATACAATATAATAATAATAAAAAAACCGACAATGAACTCTAGTCTCATTCTCTTCAAGGAAAATGAAGCACTATTGTTTTACCAACATAAAACATTATTAAAATATTAAAAGAATGTGAATGTTTATAAATTTGCTGAACATAGAGAAAAACAGTTGCTTGGATCCAGCAAAAGCTTGCTGCTAGTGAAAAAGTTTTGACCAAAAAGATTTTGCTGGCTGAATTGGGGAGGAGGAAACATTAATCATCAATTACTGTTCATTCTTCAATCCTCAACATCATTCTAAAATGTGTTCTGGAGGACTGAGGATGCTCCAGAACTTTATAGTATTGGAGCCTGAGAAAAGAAAAGGAACATCTCCCCTTCTAAATTGCTAGCAGGAATGAACTACATAGAACTGCACAGGGAATGCTTCTGCAGGCAGAGATGAAGTTAGAACCATAGCCCAGTATTCTGCAGTGTTCTTCCTTATAGACAAGTGGGTGAGGAAAATGCTTCGAGTTAGCGATAGGACCTAAGGCCAACATGAAATTACTTCTTAAAAGCTATAAAGCAATACTAAGCATTTTTAAAAGAGTATCTAACTGGTAAAACTACTCAGATATTCAAGACCAGTGATTTTAAGATAGATTAACCTTACTAGCATCATAAACAGAATCATACATATAAACAATTGTTATGTCTCATTTACCAAATTTAATTGGTAAAATTTTAATTAAAATATACCTTATTTTGACCCTTTTAAAAC